AACAAGCACACAAGTACTTATTACATAACCAAACACATATGAAACGTATGCTTTGTTTCGTTAATAATTTATCATTCATATAACAAGAATATGCCACAGCAAAGCGTGGCAGGGCACAGCTAGTATATACATATAAATACTTATTTCTCGCTTACAATATTAGTAAAATGAAGGATGTAATTAAGTAACTTAACAACTTATTCAGAATTTTTATTGTAATAATTTAAACTGCAAATTCAATTTTGCGCTTTCCTTTTGCGAATTATCCTTTCAGTGTCAATTTCAATATCTAAATGTACGTGTAAAAGTGCTAGACCTATCAGTCTTTCTTCATTCATGGTACTACGCAACCATGTTTTTAACCGGCGAAGGGTTGTAAAACTTCTTTCGGAAGTAGCATTAATAGCTGGAAATGTGGAGAAGTTTGTTAATCAATGGAAAAGCATATTCGTCGCATTTACCAAGAACTTCTGCTGCTGATTTTGGGAATGGCTTTTCGCTTTCCTTATTTGTCCATCGTTCCAACCACACTTTATACTCTCCTTTCAAATTGATACCATCTTTTTCTAAGAAAAGTTTGTATCGTTTTCCAAGCGATTTTACGCATATTATATTCCCCATTTTTAGATGGAAGTAATAAGTTCAAATCAAAAATCTTTAATGTGTCTTTCGGCAATCTTTCTCGGAGATCGAGCAAAATATTATCCAATAGTGGTATAAATATTGCCTTTCGATAATAATCTTCAGCGTTAGACGCAAGATAATTAGCCGAACTTTGCACCGCGGAAATAGACAAGAAGTAGTATCAGAATGTTCCATTTGACATGCATACATACATTAATATAGCCCAATTCTTAATACTCCCAGGGAGTTTGTTCTTCGGGAAGTTCCCGAGAAAGAAGTCCTCCAATAATTAACTCCCAGGAAGTAGCATTTTCCCCGAAAATTTGGAAAGAGAAAATTCAAGCTTCGCAAGAGCTGGTTGATACTTTTTTGACAGCTCAACTTCGCCATTTGATATAAAAAAATCCGCAGGGAATTTTTATTCATGATGGGAGGAATTTGAAAAGAGAGAAAACTTCCAGGGAGTACCTGTTCAGAATCGGCCTGATGGTATCTATATACCCATTGTTTTTATTTTTCACGTTGACGAAGAGTTTTACTCGATTTCTTATTATATAAATAATCTTGTGCAAGCCTAAAAATGGTTACGATTGAAGATTAAAATAAAAAAAAACTTAAAATTTTTTTTTTCAAATTTCTCGTTTGAGGTAACATATTTTATCCGAAATTTTTCCCATTTGATATAAAAAAAATCCGCAGGGAATTTTTATTCATGATGGGAGAAATTTGAAAAGAGAGAAAACTCCCAGGGAGTACCTGTTCAGTTTCGGGCTGATGGTATCTACGTACCCATTGTTTTTATTCTTCACGTTGACGAAGAGTTTTACTCGATTTCCCATCACCAAAAAATTCGTCGACGTCCGTACCAAAACGCAAGCCGCGAATATTAGGTTAGCCTGTTAAAGTTGAAAATATGTTTAGCTTATTCTCCTGATTGGCAGTGTTTATACCAACGGTGGGCAAACGCAGCTCTTTGAGCCAAATGCGCCTCTTTGCTTAGCAAAGTGCGGCTCTTTTTACTTTCCGTTTGCTCTTTTTAACCGACTTCCAAAATAGGAGGACGTTATCAGTTCGTCGGAATATTTTTTTTTTGTTTTTATGTATGTTACCGCATAACTTTGGACTACGTCAACCGATTGCGATAATTCTTTTTGCATCGGAAAGGTAGTGTCTCAGAGGTGGTCCCGTACTAATCTGGTTAAGATCCGATCAGTGGATCATGAGATATATGTATATATATTATTTTTTATATGAGAGTTTAAGTCGGTTTTTTTTGCTAAAAATTACTTGTTAATTTTTAAAATCCTAATTTCTTTGCTGGACATTCTTTTGAATTGTGTTGTTTTTTATTTTATTTCTTTTATGTACACATAAGCAAAGAGAGATCGGAACATTAGCCGCAATTGGAGAATGAAAATTGGCTTTCTGACTTAATGTTCTGTACCGATATGGTGGAACATTTGCAAAACTTGAATTTGTCTCTACAAGGAGAGAATAAAGATGTTTTTGATTTGTCACAAATTATTTTAAGTTTTGAAGCTAAACTGCGCCTTTCTATTCATGATCTCAAAAAAAAAATGATTTAATTTCCATGGCTAGAAAAAAATATTGCACATAATTTAGAAGTTTTGAACTTTTTTCCGATTTTAAATTATTTAAATGTACGTTTGCATACTTCATAAACCCTTTTTAACCGATTTCAAGAAAAGGAGGAGGTTATCAATTCGTCGGAATGTTTATTTTGTTTAATTTATTTTTTTATTTTTATGTATGTTACCGCATAACTTTGGACCACGTCAACCGATTTCCGATTTCGAAAATTCTTTTTGCATCGGAAAGGTAGAATCTCAGCGGTGGTCCCTTACTAATCTGGTTTCGATCAGATAATTGGATCATGAAAAAATTAACGGTACTCCTAAATTATATTCAACAATTTTTATGAGCTCGAGGTCGTTTTTAGTGAAACGTTATTGTGGAAAAGCAACAATAATTTGAAAAAATTGTAGAAGTGATAGCTATTTCGGAAATCACCACATTTCCTCATCAGACTTCTTTCAGTAGGATTCGAACCGACGATCACCACTGACTCAGCTAGTTGCCTGCGCACTGTGCTAAGTTTGCCTTGTTAATTCTTGCTGCTTATTTCCACTATTTCACTTTGCTAAGCCAACTACAATCAAGCGCAGCGATTCCGCTGCAATTCACGTGATCATGTGGTTGTTGGTTTTTGTTAATATTTCTATTATTAGAATGTTTAACTTTTTAGGTGTGCTCGTCCTTCAGTTATTTGTTTTTGTTATTGTTATGGCCTTATAACAATTATATTCAACAATTTTTATGAGCTCGAGGCCGTTTTTAGTGAAACCTTATTGTGGAAAAGGAACAATCATTTGAAAAATGGTAGAAGTGATAGCTGCTAGGCTATAGCTATAGCTATAGGCACTGCCCATACAAACTGAGATTCTCATATCGCTTATCTCTGGAATCGCATATGCTAACGTCTTGAAATTTGACACAGCAACATATGTTTTCAATACCGTACTTACGGCGAAGAGTCGCAGATTTTGGAAAAAGGGCCGGAACACCGCCCATACAAACTGAAATTCTCATATCGGTTATCTCTGCAACCACTTATTTTAAGGTAATGAAATTTTATACACATATAAAATCGCAAGAATTATTCACTTGGGAACTAATTTCTCCCAGATTTTAAAATCGCATTGAATGATTGTTGTTTTGTGCAAAAGTTTTTAGAAGGACCAGTGTGTTTGTCTTCCGATAGGTGGCTCAGGGATTAAGAGCTATCCTAAAAAATCATATTTGTGATCAGATTTGTTTCATTTTTAAAACACATATTAGTAACATAAAATTTGGTGTAACTTGGTAGTCCAATCGTGTCATGAAAGAATATTAGGCTCCGGCCCAGTCTTGATAAAAACCCGTGTGAAACCGCTGTTAGAGAAGGAAATATTATCTTTTTTTGTAAACCTTCAAGATACTTTCTCAACCGTTAACGATTCTGATGAAAAAAAGAAAGAGTTTATGTAGATGTGGGCAATTTAGTTTTTAACCTCCAAGAAGGTTTGTATTTGAAACTGAATTTAGTTTGGTCATATATGTAGTCCAAAAAGTTTAAAATTAAAACCGAAATTTTTAACCGTTTACTAGATGTTGAAAACAGCTGCGTGTCGCATATTTTCAATTCTTGGTACGTATAACTGTGGGTCTTGTACTCTACAATGAAATTCGTAAAGTAAAAATACCGTTCACAATTATTTGCATTCGCGTACCTGATAATTATTGAAAGTTATAAAACCTATCAGCTTTTTGTGTTCGCGTAAGCAAAAAACTTGCAAAGTAGGGGAAATTGAGAGAGCAAAATGACATTTCATTTTGAGGGAAAGCTGCTAGTTTCTGCTGGAAAAATTTTTGCCAATAGTAATTTGCCAACAAGAAAACAGTTGATCAAAAACAGCTGGTTGGAATTTACGCAAATCGCTAAATTTAATTTGGTGGTTTGGAAGTTAAAATAGTAAAATCCGACTAATTAAGAAATAAGTAATTATTCGTTTAGTCAGGGAGCTGTGTCAGGATAAAACTTCGGGATTTGTTTTCTTACGCTTTCATTCTTATTCTTTTGAATATAAACAAAATTTCTATCAGCTGTTCGTCGAACTTGCAAGTTTCTGCAAATTTTCTGTTGTATTTTGGCTAAAGGGATCTTGTAAATTTTCTTTAATATCTATCTTACACGTACATTAGAATAATAATAAAATTAATGTTTTTCATTACTAATAATAATTTTATTTAAAAATAAAATTTTTGTTTTTGTTGTTTTTTTTGTGGCTCTTTGTAGCATTTAGAATTTACATGTGGTTCTTTTCGGCCTCAGCCTTGCCCACCCATGGTTTAGTGGTTAACTATTTAATTGATTATGCAACATAAAGACCATCGCAAGGGCCAATTCTTTGATAACTTTGCTCTCAGCATGTTCAAGAAAAATATCGTAAACGCCATTTCCCCTTTAGGCAATAGGGTATGCAAAAAACAAAAGAAAGCGAGCATTGAATAATGTTGTTTTCGATTTAAATCCAAATAAGTTTTTACACTGTTTAAGGGAGAATTCAAAAAAACTCTCCTTTAGAATTTATCTTTTGTCGCTGCCGATAAAATAGCAATCAGGGGTCGACATGTATGTATATGAGTTTCGTCGAAAAATAAGATCATGATCCGGAAGGTGTATTTTGGCTTAAAAACTCCAACGCTTTTGTAATTAAAACTAGTTTATAATCATTTGTTTTCATTCCATTCACTAATCCTTTGCCGGCAAGCATATTAATTTAATTATGTATTATATTTTGTGGTATATTTTGTAGTTTTCGGATTCACATCCCCGTGACGTTGAAGAACTTTGGGGCACACTCTGCCAATTCTGGCCAAACAACCTCAAGGTCATCCTACGCTACTTGGTTATCATGAGTGGCATGGCGCCGAATGAACTTTTACCATATGTAAGTGGGTAAACACGGCACATTTTCAGAAATTAAAAAACACCTCTTCAAATCCATTGCATGCATGTATAACAGCTTAAAATGTTCATATATACATATATGTGTATGTACAATAGACTGATTCAAAAAAAAAACCATTTTTCGAAATTTATGTGCCATGATCAAAATCTTTGAAAGCAGCAAGAAAAAATATGTTGCTGAAAATTTGAACGAAATCGGTGGCCGTTTAGGGGTTGCTCAATGCGATTTTCAATGTTTACCATATCGCGCACCTGAAATACATCGTCGTCAAAAATATCGTCTATTTACCACAAATATTGAGCTAAATGTCTGAAGTTTTGCACATACCATTGCTAAATACCATAAAATCAACTAATCTAAAATTTTATGTAAACATTTTTTTGCGTTAATAAATAATTAATGGTTAACTAGCGATAATTAGTTAGTTGATAATTATTGATCCCACTAACTTTTTGTGGTAAAAATTGAGAAGAACCTTTAGCACACCTTCACAAACTATAATACATCTACAAAAACATCCGCACTTGTAATCTGTTAGTGTTAAAGGACTTTTTTAACTTTTGGGGCTATGTGGGCGGGTTAAAATCGTTTTAATTTACGTGTAGGAACGCGTACCACTGTACGATGAAACACTGAAGGAAATAGCACAAAGCAGCCCGGATAGGACGATCGTGCCAAAATAAAGAGAAACTAAAAAAAGAACAATAGGGGTTAGTTCAAACCGATCAAAGCGACCAAAAGAGACTTTCCTTTGACATCGCAAAAAGTGGAGTGACTCTTGTTCAAGAGTACAACAATATCTTATCCAGAAACGAAAAGCAACAACAAACTTTACTTTAACAGTTAGCGAGCATCGAAAGAAGTTCAAAGATGTTGGAAAAAATACAGTTAAGAAGATATGGGAATGATTTTTGAAATAATTGTCTTCAGTTGCATATACATAATTATCATTATTTGCCCATTCTCTGACATTCCATTGCAAGAAAGAAACAAAATTGCAAAAAATTAACACCCCCTATTCTGCAATACTTTCGTATTCGGATTATGCTGCAACCCGAATCGTATCTTCAAATTCGTAACAATGGCATGCCTAAAAACGAGCGAGTAAGAAGTTGACAGCTTTTTTGCGTAATTATGTACGAAAATAATTCCGTGTCGGAAGCGAGATAAAAATTTAGCAAAAAGATGTAAATCGATGTGTGTTTGCAGGAATTATTAGTGGTGTGCTTTTAAACAGATAAATTTGCTTTTTGCATATATGTACGTATATTTTTATGCACTGCTTTATATGAACGAACAAAACAGAATGTTTGTTGCCCCTTATCGAGAAACTTGGGCTGGTTTAGTTATTTGTACATGAACGCATGACCGGAATCTAAAAAATTTAACATGCACTTATGGTCAAAGGATTAGACTTTAATTTAAAACAAAGGTTCCAAAATTCCGAGCTCTAGTTTAGTAATAAGTTCGGTTTGAACCATGCACTTTTTTCTTAAATTCAGTGGATGTCGTAGCCGGAGTTATATGCACAATAAATGTTTTATATCTTTAAGTGTATAAGAGGGGCTTCCGCCCTCTTCTCCGGCAACACAGAAAAGAGAATTCTCATAAGCAAGGCTTATAATTCCTAAGCTCGGCCGAAAGCAGAAGCAAGCGCAACCAGGTGGTGGACTAACAAAATGCATATTTTCAATGCCTTGGAAGCAGTTATTGCATTAACTGGATTGAAAACCAGTTCTTCAGGCATAGGAGGAATTATAGCTTGTGGCTCAACAATTCAACCAGAAGTTGACATAGATGCGTCCATGGTTACTATGCCCGACAGCTACGCATACCTTTTTGAATCCATTGCCATAGCGCGTTCTTACTCCGCTGCTATAATTCCAAATGCATCAGAATCTATAATTTTCCTCAAAATATGTAAAATCAACCAATTTTACAATAAACAAACACATGATAAGTATTTCTTTAATTCCTTGTCGATGTCGATTTTTCGTTCTAGAATAAGGGTGTAACATTCCACTTTGTTTTTGTAGTTTATTATAATTTCTGAACGTGTGCTAAAGGTTTTTTCTCAATTTCTACCTCAAAAAGCTCTTGGGATCACTTGTTATTAACTAACTAATTTTCGGTAGTCAACCATTAACTATTTATTAATATGAAAAATTTTTTAAACTCAATTTTAGATAAGTAGATTTTATGGTCTTTAGAAATGGTATGTGCGAAATCTCAAACATTTTTAGCTTAATATTTGTGGTACATAGACGATATTTTTGACGAAGATGTATATCAGTTGCGCGATTTGGTAAAAATTGAACATTGCATTGAGCAACCCCTAAACGACCACCGATTTCGCTCAAACTTTCAGAACCATGTTTTTTATTGATGCTTGCAAAGATTTTGATGCACCGCACATAAATTTCGAAAAATCGATTTTATTGAATCAGTCTAATGTACAATTATTTGTGCATATAACATATTTATTGGGGCCATATATTTGAATAAGCCATTTTCTGAAACATGTCCTTTTGTGTGTATTAATATGCATTTATTTTCATGTGTTCGTATATACGAATAGGCGAAACGCGTGGCATTGTATCTCGCCCGCACTTGCCCCGACCGTCTTTTGGACGAACTAATGGTAGAACTGCAAACTGTGGAAACGCTTAATTGCTTAATTGAACGCACCGAGACACCACCATTTTATCGCCTAACAAGCATGCGGAAAGCTTCCAGCCACTCTGCTGACGGTAAGTTCACCATATGGTTAACGCTTTTTTTTATGGTTGGTTGAGACCAGAGGTGTTAAAAATACTTGTAAAATTATATATACAAATATGTACCTTAGCCCGGCCAAGTTCAACATTCTCGGTTACAATAATTCGCATAAAGCTGAAAAAGGGTACGAGTGTTGTGAACACCATTATGAATGAAATGTCAAAATTTATTCAAGGTCAAAGGTCACACAAATTGATTTTTTTTTTTGATTTTTCAGCGAAATGGTAAGGTTTGTCACAAAAATAGGTGATACGAAAGTGTAGATCATCAAATTATCTATAAAACCCGTTATAACATTTTTCTTCCTGAGAATTACCATTTCTGAGATATAGCGATTAAAAAATTTGCACATAATATGCATAATTTACACTGTACTTGTGGGGTAGTATATTTGGCGCGTTTTTTACAACGCTTTAATCAACTTGCAATGTTCTATGTCCAGACCACCATTTTTTACCATAAATATAGCAAAGGTATTTATGGCAAACCTAGTCTAGATGTCAACCTCGTCGTAGGTATCATATCAAAGACATCGTAAATTTTAACGTTTACCAATTCAGTTTTATTCAAACCAAACCTGCTTGCTCATATGTGAAAAGATTAGCTTGACTACTTACTCATATGTATAAGAACGAACCAGTCCGATAGTAACTACATCCCCACAAGTTTAAGATCAGCGAAATGTGGTATGTATTTTTAAAAAACTATTTTTCAATTACTTTAGTATCTATTGGAAAATTGTATGCTGACAAGACTAAAAAGTAGAAATAAAATAAAATAAAATAAAAAACTTTTTATTATACAACGCTTTTATAAATGGACTAAAAAGTAGAAAATAATATTTCTCAGTCCCACAGAATTTGTTTTGATAACTTTTGATTTTGAAATTTTAGCTAAAGTCATTATAAACAATTAATGACATTGAAAATGAGGAGCGTGGGACGCATGTAATACACTTGAATTGATATGAAAAGCAACATATGTATGTGTGTATGTGGGCATATGAATAACGACCGCTTAAAATCGATCTCAAATGTGTACTTTCGCTGTAGAATGTTATGTAGTTTGACTATTGTCAATGAAATCGAATGCTTTGTACTGCATGCGCTCCACGTTTTTCGTTTTCAATGTCATTAATTGTTTATAATGACTTTTGCTAAAATTTCAAAATCAAAAGTTATCAAAACAAATTCTGTGGGACTGAGAAATATTATTTTCTACTTTTTAGTCCATTTATAAAAGCTTTGTATATTAAAAAGATTTTTTTTAAATTTATTTAACGTGGTTTCTCCGGTAGGTAACTAAATAATATTTCATGAAATAAAAACAGTACCATTGGAATTGATGAAGGCGCACAGTGCCTCCTTTCCATATAAAATGTGGGCAAAAATAGGATTGTGGACGGATTTGAATGAAAATTAGAGCGCTGAATTCAAAAATAAATAAAATAATATTAAATCGGTATAATAATAATAATCCCAACGGTTTTTACCCTCCATTCCCGCCCATCCGCACGAGGGGCGCAGTCCGCATGACGTACGGAACCAGTATTTTCAATTTTTGCGCCGAGTCACTATAGGCAGGAGTTTGTTAAGTGCCGAGATCTAAAACTGTTCAGCTACAGAACTAAATTCATCAGCTGATTTTGTCTTTATGTTAATAATTCATTTATTGAGAGAGGAGAGTACCGCTATGTACCGTATGTACATATAGTTCGCTCTATTTTAAAATGAGAGGTATCAAATGACAGGCTTGGCCTGTAGATGTGCATTAAAGATTTATTTTTTTGAAACGGATTGCCACCTGCTACAAATTGTATTAAAATTATTTAATTAGTTGAATGTTTTAGATATTATAATATGGGTATCGAATGAAATGGTTTTGAAAATGATTTACTTCCAAACGATACGTAGAAACCCTGCAGGGAAAAATACTAGTTGTGAACTCGAATAATACCAGTTCGCTTTTTAGTTCAACCAGTTCGTGTTCTATCTTTTTTCCATGCTAGCAACTGGTATTTTTAACACGGCCATGTGCTTCGAAATTTCAATTGTCCGGCTATGCACCTGCATATACCCGTTAAAATACCAGTTCATACTAGTAAAAAAAATATTAGTCCAATAGGTTCCGAAAAGAATCAGTTTGAGACCAGTTAAAATATAAATAAAAACATCCAAATTAACGTTTTAAAATATTTTATTTCATATAAGGTTAGGTTAGGTTAGGTTAAGGTGGCAGACCCGCAAAGGGGACTCAC